GGTTTATTCTAGGTTTTACTGAAATGTGAACTCCCTCATATAACAAAACCCCACCTCTACCCCCTCCCTGCCACAGAGGCTCCTGCTCTGCTCTAAAGGTGTGAGTCATGTATTGACTTCCCAGTGACTGTTCCTTGAAGATTTGGTGGTTTTGTGTCAGCTCTTTGAACAGTTCTCTCTCCCTGCTGAGGAGTTTGATGCCAAACAAGCTGCCAGCCCGGCTGCATTTCAAGAGTATCAAATAATCTGTGTCGTTCCAGTTCCTTTGGGCTGTGACTCTGCTTTATCAGGGAAATATCCTCAGTTGTGGAATTGGAGTTTTCACTTGGGGAGAGTACTGACTTCTCTGACTCAGTCTTCAGTGTTACTGCCATTAGTTTCCTGTCTGCAGAATATATGAGGTTCACAAGTAAAATTCATTGCAGCTCATAAATTGTATATGCAGGGTATAGAAGGATATGCCAGAGCCCAGCAGTGACATAAAAAACGTACATAGCAGTGAAAAAACCCCACTATGTGCCTTTGAGGTTTATTTTGTTTCTTCCCCAGTTAATTCCTCTCCTTTGCCTGCCCCAAGCTGAGGTTAAACTGTATTTCCCCCTGTGTGATGGGGGGTCCTGCTTGTTGGATCATCGTGGGACCACAGCAGCTCCCTGGCAGGGTCTTTCTGAGGGGTCAGAAATCCTCCACACTTGAAGACTTCTTGTTTTTATTGTTTAGATTAAAATTCTAGTTGCCATCTGTACTTAACCTGATCTTTTCCCATGCTTCCCAATAAGCCTTTGTTAAAATCCTAGTTTGGGGATGTTTTCTGTGCTGATGAGCAGCGAGAAAGGTCCTCAAATCCTTGCCAGTGGAGGATGAGCTGTGCCGAGCCATGCAATGCCAAAGGCTTTGTCTGTTGTTCCCATAACTTTAATAAACATCCAGGAGGCAGCTCCTGGCAGCTGCTAATTTTAAAGTAACATATTAATCAAATTAATTGAGAGTTCCTTTTAATAATCAGCAGCAACAACATAACTTTGTGATGTTTTCAGTGTTGCTAAAAGTAATTCCCCCCCCTCCAAAAGAGGATCTCTGCAGATAAATCAGCTGAAAAAGTGTTAAAGTGTCTCTTTTGCTACCTGATAATCCAATTAAGTGGTGATAAGAAAAATAGCTCCTGGAGAATTTCAGGGAAGCAGAATAATGTACTTAGTGTTGTACCAGAATCCAAATACCACATAATCGTGGGTATCCATGGATACTGAAGCAACACTTTGATTACCAGATACATCCATTACCCTTAAATACCAGCGCTGGGGGTTTAATGCCCCGACCAATTTAGCGCGTGACTGCTCCAGCCTGGAGAACCCTCCTGGGGATCTGCTCCGGAGCAGCACAGGAGCTGGCGGGGGGGGAAGGAAGGCAGCCAGGATATTTTTGAGACTCTCTTCCCTGCTCCTGTGTGCTGTCAGCTGCCACCCAGCTGGCTCCATCCGCCTGCCCTCCGGCTGCCGGGAGCTGGAGCGTCCTGGGATGTGGCCTGACCCCTGTGCCACATCTGTGACTTAGGAGTGGGATTCCCAGGAAAAACCATCACATGATAGTGCTGTAGAGTGCTTGTGCTGTTGGGAGTCACTCCACAGTGGGTGGATGGCCTTGATGTCCCAACCTTTGATCAGAGCAAGATGAGCATGTTGATCATCTCACAGCACAGGATCTGGCGTGAGGCTGGAGACACAAAGTCATGGAATCAAAAAATCCTATAATGGTTTACTTGGAAGGGACCTGAAAGCCCATCCAGTCCCCCCCCTGCCATGGGCAGGGACACCTCCCACTGTCCCAGTTTGCTCCAAGCCCATCCAACCTGGCCTTGGACACTTCCAGGGCTGGGGCAGCTACAGCTTCTCCGGGTGCGTCAGAGCAGCCCTGGTTTGGTCTCAGGTGGTTTTGGCTCCAGACTCCCACCCTTTGCCACAGCACTTGGTGCCAGTGAGAGCATTTGTCACTCCTCCAGTCCGTCAGGGTAATGGATCACTGCAGGAATTCAAGGCAAAGGCCCGAATTTGCAACTTTCACGTTGCTACCACTTAATTGCCTGAGAGGTTTTTCCCTGGTGAGTGCAGTGCATTAACCTGACAGGTTAAATAACTGTGCACACGTTTCCTGGCGGAACAGGAATGCGGGACGAGAATATGGAAGCTGAACTTATTCTATCTGTGCCATTTGGACAATCTCCCCTCAGTTCCCTGGGCACCTCTGCTTGCTGAGAGTGGTAAATGCCAGGGGGCCCTGCCTGCCACAGGCTCCTCCAGAGGGATGGGAGCACTGTTATCCCAGCTCGGGGGTTGGGTGTGAGCAGCAGCTCATGGGCTGCTGCAGGACCTTTGTGCTCTGGTGTCAGAGCTGCCTGGGGTGGATTTGAGCTAAACAAGCTGGAAAATAACACACTTTGTCCCCTTTAGATGGCTTTGGGGTTGTATTTGTTCCTCAGGCCTCTATTTGCTCTTTGGGCTGCATTCCCAGTCCTCTCACCTTTTCTGACTGAAGGTGATGGGAGGTGATGAAGGACTGCAAAGGACCTTCACAGCAGCTTCAGATGTGTCTAAATGATGGCTCCATCCAGCACAGAGGAGCCCTTTGGTCCCAATGCCATAAAATACATCTGCTCCTGCTCTGCTCTGTCACAGTGGGAGCCTCTCAAAAGGACACTGTGGAGGGAAGGAATAAATTTCCAGGTGACAAATCCTGGAGCTCTGTAGCACTCTGGGGGTTGGGTTGGTTTTTTCCTTTCTTTTCTGAAATGAATTCTCCAAAGTTGCCACGTCCTTGTTTTACAAGAGAAATTGGAGTCTCTCGGGGGAGGTTTGGAGTAGCTTGGCTTGGAGTGATGGAGTGCCAGGGAGGGCACAGGGACTTCCCAGGAGCAGATAATAACTTGAAATTCTCCTTAGGCTTGATGCCAGGGCAGAGAGATGTTCCCCCAGCAGAGCCACGTGGATGGCTTCCCTGACTGCTGTGCCTGGGTGGTGCCCTGGCCCTGCCGTGGAGCAGGATGCTCAGAGCCAGGGCTGGCTGGGGGAGCTGTGCTTTTAACCAGCTGCAATCCCTGCCAAGTGGGTCATTCCAGGAAAGCTAGATAGCACTGCTCACGGGTTTGAGTTCATTCTGCCTAATTTTGACTGGGGAAAAAAAGAGAGCATTTTAAACTCTTTAGATTTTTGAACTCACTAGCAGTGAAGCTTTGTCTCTCCATTTAAAAATGAAGTTTCTTTTTAAAAACATGTATTGTTTTCTTTGAAAACAAACAAACAAGCAACAAAAACACCAGGTTGCAAAAATTTCAAGTTTTGTGAAACAAAACGAAAGATTTTGTGTGAGTCAGAGGAAAACTTGGGGGTTATTATTCTCTTTTATTCTTTCCCTGCCTTTCCTTTTCACTGTTTTATTTCTTCCCACCAAACCAGTCCTTCTTCCCCCGGAGCTTTTGGAGCAGCCAATACAGCAGAGCTGCTTTGCCTTCAGGCAGCCCCTGCGTCTCATCTTCTCTGCGCCTCAAACAAGGGAAAAGGAGCCTGCCCTGCTCTGGGAGGTGCTCAGGGACCTGCACAGGAGGCAGATCTCACCATTTTAAGGGCTGAGTTTGGTTTTCACGGCTGTTCCAGGGGTTCCTCCAGGTGTTGCCGTGGCTGCTGTGCCCGGGGTCGAGGATGGTGCTGCACTGGCAGATGGTGTGTGCTGGGGATGAGCCTCCTCCTCCCCCTGTAGGATCCCTCCATACAAACACCTTCTCCACTGCCTCGTTTAACAGTACTTTTAGATCTGTATTTTAAAGCATATCTGTGAATCTCTCCTTTGTCCTGCTGCCTTTTAATTAACTCGTCCCCACTGCTGTTTCTTATTAAGCAGCTCTGATATGTTATTAATTAACACATTGTGCAGTAGAGTGGGGAGGTTGGTATCTGAGATGCCATAAAAGATGAAAGTATTTACCACTGAGAAACAAAATAATTAAGGCAAAAGTTGCGTTTTCATCTGCCAGCAACAAGCAGAATATCACTGGAGATGGGATGGTTTTTTCTTTTATTTTTCTAAAACAACCTAAATAGCTGTACTCTGGGAACTGTGCTGGCAGGGAGCCTTTCTCTGCCCTGCCTGTGGGTGTCCCTGTTCCCTGCTCACACTCTGTGCCACGTTTCCTGGGTGTTTATGAGAAGTCCCATTCACAGACGTACTTTATCTCAAGGCTTCAATATTTGGGTCTCTCCAGCCCAGTTGGTGATGGGCATTGGAACAAATAAGGGTTTTCTTGATCTTTATCCTTGATTTTCATTTTTATCCTTTTTTGGTTGGTTGGTTGGTTTTTTTGTGTGTGGTTTTTTTTGGTTTTTTTTTTTTTTACTTTACCAATATTTCAACTCCTTGGCTGTTCCTATTCCAGATAAGTCATTCCAGTGGAAACATTTTCCCTCAATAGCCTTCAACCTGTAAAATCAAAAAGAATTTCAGCCCTTTGCTGAGATAAAATTTGTGTAATACACCTCCAGCATCACTTGCCTTTCTGATTGTTGTTTTGGGGTTTTTTTAGTCAGTTTAAGCTTATTCAGGTTGCCATTTGGATTGGCTTATTTTTTTTAATTCCTCTATTTTCAGTCCTTCCACTGACCATATATTTGCTTATTTTGCTTTTCTACAATGTTGGGTTTTCCCACCTGCTTAAACCACAACCCTACCCAGCCCTGCAGACTGTGTGTATCGGAGCTCTCTGTGCAAAAAAATAATGGTATGAAATAATGATGTGAATATGAAATAATGGTATGAACATGAAATAATGGTGTGAAACCCTCAGGAAGTGGCACATGAAGTGCCCACAAGGGCAGTGATCCCATCAGAGAACTTGTCTTCCCCCCAGGCTCCCCTTCCAGTGTGTGCAGTTCCCGCTGCCGTCCCTGTGCTCACCCCTGATGTTCCATTTTCCTCCGTGACAGTGCTTCTGCTCTCCCCTGTCTCTGGCTCAGGTGGGCTCTGCATTGCCCAGTCCCTGAAGATCCCCCAGGACCGCAAGGACAAGACCATCGACTTCGACAAGATCATCCGGCAGCTGCTGGAGACGCCCAACGCCAGGGCCATCGTCATCTTCGCCAACGATGAGGACATCAGGTGAGGGCAGCTGGGGGAATTCATGGGGCTGGGCAGCCCTGCAGCAAGGGCAAGGCAAAAAGAACGGGAGGAGTGGGAATGTCTGTCGGTAAGAGTGATGGGGGGGGGAGTTTGGGATGTGGGGGAAGGACCAGGCACAAGGGTGCTCTGCCCTGGCTCAGGGGGTGCCCAGACCACAGTGGGGGCACAGGAATGGTGACCAGGACCTGGGAGCTTTTCCTGGCATAGGGTTACCCATGCATTGGATGGCAGAGCTGACCTTACCCCTCAAAGAGGCACTAAGAGCACGCCCCTCTCTCCAAGCTCGTTCTGTCATGTATAATTAATTATTTCAGGCTCTATTTTACGGCAAATGAAGGTTAATAGTGATAAAGTGACTTGGATGCTCAAGGTTAAATCACATAGAACTGGCTCATAAAATAATACAAAGAATATTTTATATTTCATTTCTCACTTGCCCGTGCTCCACATTCTCACTCCAGAATTTTAAATCGGCTTAAAATCATGATGGAATCATCAGTTGCTGAGAGGCTCAGTCCTACAGTGAGACAAAAAGAATTCAGGATGAAGTTTCAATAAAGTCAGTGGCAAAACTCTAAGTTTTGGTGGAATCAATGTGTCTGTCATGGGATACAGGAGGAATTTAAAGAGAAGTCCTGTTGGTGCTGCAAAGGATAGTTTGGGTTGGGAGGGACCTTTAATGATCATCTTGTTCCAAGCCCCTGCCATGGGCACCAGCACCTTCCGCTAGACCTGGGTGCAGGAATGTGCTGTTTCTGCTCATGACAGAGTAGATTAGGTTGGAAAAGCCCTCTGAGATGGCTGAGTCCCCCCATCCTGCCCCTGGCACAGGCCGTTTCCTGCAGCAGTTCCATGTTTAAACCCCACGACCGTGTGAACACGCCCTTCTCTCCCACAGGCAGATCCTGGCGGCCGCCAAGAGGGCGGATCAAGTGGGACATTTCCTGTGGGTGGGCTCGGACACGTGGGGCTCCAAGGTGGGCCCGCTGCTGCAGCAGGAGGACGTCGCCGAGGGGGCCATCACCATCCTGCCCAAGAGAGCCACCATCGAGGGTAAGAGCTCCCCTCCCTCCCCTCCTGCTCCCCACACGCTGCCAGGGCAGAATTGGTCACCTGGGATTTTCCCCATGAGTGTTTTGGGATAAAGGTGCCCAGAACAGGGTGATACAGACCCGGAAGCACATGGGGTAAGTGCTGAATTTTCCCCAAATCTCCCTGTTCCCCACATGGACACCCGGCGTCATTGCCACGGTAGCAGCTGCCAGCAGTGGGTTATTGGAGCACGATCCCAGAGCCCACCCTGAGCTGTGGGGATGTCACAGGGCTTCCATCACCCAAAGGAAAGGAAATTCAAATGATCTGAATGTATCATGTGGATACAGGGGGGCAGAAAGTCTGTTGCAACCTTTGTCTCAACTCTGAAGCAGCGGAGAAGTTCTCCACTGAGGGAGTAAAACTTCCTTTTCAGATCAGTGGTTTCCACTGAAACTTAGCTTAACTTTTATTTCCTGCAGATCAAGCACTATATTTACTTATACATGTTGCTTGTGTGCTTGAAAAATATACACTTCTATACATATGCACATGTATATAAAACTTACGGGAAACTTTGACATAATCCCTTTGTTTCCCAACATTCCTTTGTGTTCTGAAGAGTTTGTTGTCTGATCTCTCCTCAATTTGTTAATCCTTTTGTGTGCAGGGATGCTTAACTATCCACATGGCTTCCTCTGGGCACCAAACTGGTTGATTAGAGTCTGTGTTCTCTATAATACGGAAAGAAAAGTTGTTTACAAGGTTCAGAAGGTAAAGAACTTTCCTTTGAGTAAAGAAAACAAACTCCTCAGCTGGCACATGGCGCGTGGGGCAGGGTCTCCAAAGAGTCCTTGAACACATTGCCTACATTAAAATAGGTTCGGGTGTCTTCACTCCCTGGAAAACCAAATATTTGCATTTTCCTGTGCCTGCACTCCCTCCTCATCAGTTATTCTTCTCAGGTGTATCATGTGCTTCCTTCTTCTACATTTTTCAGCCCCCGAGGTGTTCTCAAATGTTGTTTCTCCGTAAATACCTAAAGTTGATAGACAATGAAGTGGTTTGTTTCTGAAAACTAGGGTATTTTAATAAGCTTTTCATACTGGCTGTATTCATCCCTATGGGTTCCTGACACAGAAAAGAAAACTCTGTCAACAGTAAACAGAAACAAAAACTTTCCAGGTTTGCTTGTTTTAAAATATTTTACTTCTGTCTTATACACTGAACCCATGAGGGGCTTTTTTGGACCCAGTAAGCGAGGAGAGCAGAATGGAAGGGTCCAGGTATAGAAAGTCAGTTAACTAACAGTTGTAAATATCAGTGTATCTGGTGTATCTGCAAAAAATATGTTTATTGAGCTCACAAATGTCTTCTTATTCAGTGACCGTGTTGAAGGATTGCCTGAAGGTTGGCTGGTTGCATTCTGCACTTGTAGCCACGCAGGTTGGATGATTAATTGTGATGCTTAAATCACATTTTGCCTATCACTGTCTCTAACTGTGCTCATGCTTTAGGAGCAGATCCATGTTTCAGGTCCCTGTGTTGCAGGGACTCCCTGGCAGGGCAGGGCAGTGGGGCAGAGCAGGGGCTGTCCAGGGGTGCAGGAGGCAGAGCCAGATATCCCTGTCCAGAGCAGAGGCTCCCTGGCTGCTCCCTGGCTGCTCAGAGAGCTTCAGGCTGGTTCTTACCTCCCTCAGTCCTGTTCATCCAGCCCCAAATGCCACCTGGATCTGCCTCCTGCTCCTGCTGTTACAGGGAGGGTAAAGGGATGCACATCCCCATTCTCCTGGAGCAGTTTTCCAGGACTCCACATTCCCAGCCCAATTCCATTTTGGTTTCATTCACCAAGAGAAGCATCCACAGCTCTGCTACTTACAGAAATCAGGAATCCTTGGGCATTAGTGTTCCCATGCTCAGGGAGGCTCTTATCCCTCTGGATTGCTGCCTTCCTTGAATTTAGGCTGCTGGATGTTGTTTTGTTTTCCTTTCTGTTGTTCTAATTTCATTTGGCCAAGAGTCCAGGAGAAGGGAATTAGACATTTTTATTCTTTTATCATCCAACAATGAACATCTGCTTCCTAAAATTCAGTAATGCATTTCTTCTGGTGAAGGCATAAAATAAAAGAAATAAACTGCCTTGATTTTCCCTATAAATTGATGGGAACAAAGTAAATGAGCAGAATGGAGCCCAGTGCCTGGAGCAGATCCCAGCCCAGCGGGCTCCACCTGAGCAGCAGCCCTGGGGCTCACAGGCTCCAGGTCAAGGCAACAGTTAAGCTTAATTCCCATTGGATTTGGTGAGAATTCTGGGTTAGTCATGAATGAGGGGGTTGCCCTGATTTTACTCGTCAAGAGCATGTTTTCTTTTTTTTCCCTTTCCTTTTATCACTGTTTTAGGTAGTATTTGAAATATGCTGGGGAAAGATTCCTAGGAAGCCTCCCTGGAAGCAGAGGCCCTGCAGCTCCTGCACCTTGACCTGAGTGTGTGACTCTGCCCCTGCTCCCAGTTCAGGGGAATGAGCCAGGAAATCCCAGAGGAGCTGGTGTGGGAAGTGACCATCCAGTCCAACCCCCCTGCCCAGGCAGGGTCACCTGGAGCAGGTGACACAGGGACATGTCCAGATGGGTTTGGGATGTCTCCAGAGCAGGAGATTCCACACCTGCCTTGGGCAGCTGTTCCAGGCTCTGGCATTCTGAGGTAAAGAGGCTCCTGAGGTGGAACTCCCTGTGTGATAGTTCATGGCCATTGCTCCTCACCCTGTCCCTGGGCACCCCTGAACAGAGTGTGGGACCACCCTGACACCCCCTGGAGATGTTTGTGTGGATGGATGGGATCCCCTCTCAGCCTTCTCTTCTCCAGACCAACCAGGCCCAGCTCCTGCAGTCTCTGCTCATCAGAGAGATGCTCCAGACCCCAGATCATCCTTGTGGCCTCCACTGGACCCTCTCCAGTAGCTCCTGGTCTTTCTTGAACTGTGGACACCATAGTTTTCCGCATGTCTCCCAGTTGGCATTCCTATTTTCCTAACAGTGGGAATATCCCAGCAGCCTCTGGCTCCAGAGGGAGCCCAAAGCCCTCAGTTTCTTGTAGGATCAGGCCCCAGATCCGCAGTTATTTGTCTTGATACTTGATGTCACTCTGGGGACAGAATTTTCTTTGCCACGATCCCACGGGGGGGATTTAGGAAATCATTACATGAACTGAATTCATTCATCTTAAGTCAGTCTTAATATAGCCTGATTGTGTGTGATGTAATTATGCTGGAAGGATAAAGTTGCATTTTATTTGCATAATTGCAGTAGACAGGGAGCCAGAGGAGCTGCACATTAAAGAGCTGGAAAGTTGGGAACGTGCTCCATAGCCAGTTTAACCAGGTACCAGGGAAGCTGAAAGGTCTGAGATGTTTTCAGGGGAAAAAAAGCAGATTTTATTTATTTTTAGAACAATTATGGCAGCAGGATACTGTATTATGGTTCTTGCTGCTTTGAACTCTTGCAAAAGAGGGTCGTGGTGGTGTGTCCTCTTGTGGAGAGAAGAGCACTGAAACATCAGCCCTGTCCTGAGTCTTAGAAATCGTTTTCCTCTTAAACTCAACTGTGAGGAAATCAACTATTGTCTACTCACTTCTTCCTTTCTGTTGTTCCTACACCTCTTTTCTGTGCAAAATTTATCAAATTGGGCTGTTACCCTGTGGTTCATGTTGTTACTGTTCATCTACTGACTGAACACTTCCAGAAATCTGGTTTTTTCTCCAATAATTTTCTTTTGAAATAGTCTTGTCTTTCTTACGTGTCTGTGCTCTGTCTTCATGGACACACCAGCTCCCAATGAAACCAAGGAGAGGAGCAGCTGTAAGAAAAATACAGAGGCTAATGTACATATATGTGTGTGTGTGATGTTAATTATTTAGAAAGTTGGAAAAACGCTTCGCTGATGTGGAAAAAAATATTATTTACAGGCTGAGCTCAGAACTGATGCAACTAAACAGTGAGATTCAAGTAGGTTTAAGATGAATGATTCCATTCCAGCAGGCTGGGGATGTGGCCCAGGCTGCAGTTTGTGGAGCTCTGGGCTTGGAGGTTAAGGGGTGGCTCCAATCCAGCCCAGGGAGACACCCAGCTGTTCAAAAAACCAGGAATGCTGCAAACCAGTGTAACTGTCCCTGAATTTTTCAGTTGTTTGTCTTCCAAAGGGATCCTGGTTTTATGTTTTGGTTTTATTTCTAACAAGAACCAGTTTGCTTCTTTTTTGTTTGGGTGGGATGAATTGGGGATAAAGCCATGGAAGGGTAGTGATTTAAGGACAAATCACTGTGCAATGATATCTCACTGTTTAGTGGCTCTGAAATGTTTTCCCTTCTCATCCCAGCGCAGCAAAGGGAAGGAGCTCGGGGCTCATTGTGCTCTGTTAGAGACAGTTTGGATTTAATCCAGTGTTAATGAACAGGGGCACACTGCTCTGCATCTCCCCAGGGCTGCCTTCACCAGGATGCTGCTCTGGGAGTGATGTGCTTCCTGCAACACCTCCCACCCCCTCCCTCAGCACAACACAGGGCTGGCTCATATCACTCAGGAATATTGGGAAAATAGTCCATTTTGGATTTCTTTGGTTTGTTTACAGCCTGGTTCAGCATCTCTTCCAGTTCTCTGTTGTTCTCCAGCTTTTTCTGTGTCCCTGGGGCATGAGCATGTGGTCTGGAGAGAGTCAGTGGGCTGGAAAGATGTGGTTCCAGGGCCTTGGTTCATCCTGGGCTGTGGGGCTGCAGCCTCGCTGAGCAGAGCCCAGGAACACCAGGAGCCAGGGGGGACACCAGTCCTGGGGGAAAGGGCTCGGACCATCGCTCCCAGATTTACCCATTCCTGCCATTACCTGTCCTGAATGTTCCTCTCATCTCCTCACCACCCCCCACCTCTCCCATTGTCCTCCCTGCCCTGCTGAGGGGCTCCAGCACTGGGGGGTTTGTCCTTCCTCAGTCCTTCCTCAGTGAGTCAGGAGACTCACCCTCCCAGCTCAGGAT